CAACACCCTTTGCGTACAAAAATGTTAGCATTACGGCTGTGCAGTTTTGAAAGTCATTCCCTCAAAGTATGTTGCACTTCGTGTAAGCCCGTGCGAACCTGAAAACAGGATTTGCAGCTGCTTAAAATGTTGCATCAATTGCAATGAGTTGCTTCCTTAAAGGAATTACAGTGGGTGATTTTGCTTTTTTTTCTTGGCTCCACCAAGATCTGGAATGCAACAGGCTCCTTGAATGAACGGCAGAAAGAGGCTAGAATTGCACGAGTTTTCAAACTGCTTTTTCCACGTTATTTTCAAAGCTGCACAGCCCCAGTAAATATGTTGCTCTCTGGGGGGGCATCCTGCTTGCTAAAGCAGGGCTCATTTTCTTCCGTTTCAACCTCCGGTGAGCTCCCAGGCCGGGAACGTAGCCGCAACATGCACAGATCAAATATCGTTCCTTTCCTTTAAAAAAAAAAGGCTGCATCGTACAAATCGTATATAAACACCATAATCGCGTGTGAGGTGGAAGGCCCAAAGTTCACAGCATTCAGAAAGGCTGGCTTGGAGCAACTGTGTGACTCAGTCCCTAAATTCTACCATCTTTAAAATCAATTTGCAATGCATAGTCCAAGGGGATAGAAAAATAGATAAGCAGGTTTTGGGTATTGAAACGGAGAGTGGACGGGGGGTTCCTCGTTCCGAAGGCTCCCTTTTAATTGCTGAGTTCGTACGCCGTGCCAAAATTGGGTTGGCCAAATACAATTCCTGATTTATTTGGGGGCTTGTAGCTGCAAGCAATGGACCAGTTCACAGTCTGCTGAGATAACAGCTGGATTTTTCCCCATAATATACTGAAACCCAGAATACCCAATCGCATTCTGAGATTAACAGATGGTTGAAATCCAGCTGGTGTGTTTTAATTACGTTTTTATGTCAGTTAGTTACCTTAAGTACTACGGGCAGGCACAATGGTGGGACAAACATCCAGGCAAAGGTTATTGATTCAGTGGTATACAAGTCGAATAAATATAAATTAATAACCATCAGAGAGACAGGGAAACAGTGCAAGAGAGAGGAGATTTTGCACCACGGATTTATACTCTGCATCTGTTCCTTTACTATCTCAGGGGATGCAAAGCTGAGCTTGTCCAATTCTTGACCATTTTAAGTGCAATTCCTTTTAAAACCTTACTCAGATTTGAGATTCCTTATAACTGTGGGGCATTCTGACTGAGTTTAATTTTTTGTAATGCTGGATTACAGGATTTTAAACTGCTTCTCTTGGTTTGCAAGCTAACCTGAGGGTTGCTGATGTGGAAAGGTGGATCAAAATCGCCTTCCAATTCATAGAAAGGATATGCAGATTCAGTGCAAAACAGATGTGCCAGCTTATCCCGTGCTATTTCTTTTTGAATTAAAAAAGGTTATTCTGCCTCCACCCTGCCAAACTGAACTGATGTGCCCAGTTCAGCCAGATATTATAATGTTAAAAAGTCACAAACGTAAGCTGTGAAGTATCCTCTAACCAATCTTCCCCACTTGTATTTTTCAGATATTCAGAATTATTTTCCCCCTCACTTCTGACCAATGCAGAGCTCTAATCCCAGACATTTGGGGAGCCCCCGATTCATTTTTTCTCACAAAGATGGAAGGGTTTAAAAAAGAAAACAACGTATGAAAAGTTAAGAACCGTTCCCATCTCCAACCAGCAACTCTCAGATCATAACCAGCCTGTGATTAATTAGCTCAGCATCTGCGAGGAGCCCATTCCATGCCTAAATATTTTTTCAATCTATCAAACTGTTAGTGCAAAACCGAACAAATAGCTTAGGGAGGGCAAAGAGACTGACCTCCAGGTTTTGCAGCTCAGTGTGGTTCCAGACGCAAAGCATCTTCTCGGACGAAGCAGAGACTCCCTTGGTCTTCTCAGAATCAAAGTCAAGGCTCATGATTGGCTCCTGATGACATGTCAGCCGACTCAGCATTCTCCCCATTGACAAATTCCACAGAACCACTGATCCATCCTCATAGCCGATCAGAAGGAGAGGATGTGAGCCAACATTGGGCTGATGGCATAGATGGCAAATACAGAAAATGAAGACAACGTGTGGGTCAGTCCCGGGAAGAAAAGGCCAGCAGATCATGAAACCCTTAACAACATGGTTTCAAAAATGTAGCTGGGGTATCTAAGCTTGATTATTCAACAGGTTAGGACAATTTAAAAAAAACCCTCAATCGTGACAATTATTCCTCTTCTTCAACCAATCTCACTATTTCAGAATCTGTTCTTTCCATGTGTATCTTCACTTGGGTGTTGATATAAGGCTGGTTGGAGCTCAAATGCCTTTTTGGCAAATGGTGTCAACCTCCTTTCCAACAGGTCATCAGAAAAACTCTTTTTCTAACAACCCTCAAGTTCCATTCACAATCCCCCCCACCTGTCACAGTGTCTCTCACTCATCCACTCTGAAATTTGTCCTTTCAAAATAATAAAGTGCTTAGAAGAACTCGCACCTGGCTTTTATCTCCAAATTCTACAGTAAGACAAATACATTCTTCTTCCCTTCCAACTCCCCCCCCCACAACTTCTGAAACAGCTCTCAGTGGGGAGCTGTCCCCACTGTAACCAGCCAAGAGCAATTTTGATTAATGATGTCACAGGTCAAAGGGCGCAGCATCTCAGGCAGCCACCCAATCGATTTAAGCCTCTGAAATAAGTCCAAGAATGGAACATTATGTGTCACGCTTAACAAAAAGATTCATCATCGGAATGGCCGGGGACTAACGACACTGAAATCAGAAGACCCACCATGTGAAGAATACACAAAAGCCCTAATCAAAGCAAGTTAAAAAGAAAAACCAAGCCTTGGCAATGCCGCTTGAGAGAGGAGCCCCATCAAACAGGACCCCTGCTTCTTTTTCAGATCTGATTTCGGATTAAACCTTAAATATTTGGCATGGGTCTATTAAAAGCTAACCGACAAGTTAGCAGTTTTCAAAAATAAGCACTGTAACTAATGAACAAGGCAATTCTCATTTTTCCCTCCCCGGTTACCCTTTCAGGCTAAAATGTCATCATCCTATCATGCAACAGACTCTAGGAATAGCTGTATTAACTAAACTGGTGGTCTTCCTGCTGGAGACAATTAACTTTAGGTGGAAAAGAAAGAAGGGTAAGAAAATAGGCTTCTGGGGTCCATGGTATTAAAGCACTGATCTTCCTCTAGTGGTTCCCAAAGCTGAGCTTTTCCCAGGATGTAGGATGTCCACTGCAAAAGCCATTTGAAAGATGGCTTGACAGGTCAGAGATGCCACCATATTTGGAAGCCAAACTCTCCTCATGCATCTTCTGGACAGGTAGAACAGCACATTGCAGAAGGTCCATGTTTCAGTGCCCAACCTCTTCAGTTTGAAAGAATCAGACAGTAAGTGATGAAGCAGGTTTGGGAGAATAGGTGTAGGCTACTGTTTCTGAACCTTAGCAACCTTAAGATGGGTGGACTTCAGCTTCCAGAATTCCCCAGCAAATCCACACCTCTTAAAGTTGCTAAGGTTCAGAAACACTGGTGTACACAATCCTGAGCTAGGTGGACAAATAGAGAGAAAGCTTATATCAAATCAAGCTATCAACCTTGACCTTTCTGGGTAGAGATTTTCAAGGAATGGGGAAGAACTTGGGAACTAGCACAACCAGTAGAGTCAATGCCATTAGGTTAGTTGGACAAATACTCTGTTCGTATCTTTGAGAGCTTCCTATTTTTCCAGCATTCCAACCAGTAAAATATATTCCAACCATATATAAGCATATACCACAAAACAGATGGGCTGTGTTTTACTTAGCAGGAAGTATAAATCCATTAGGGCTAGAACTAGAGCACATAATCCTGGTTTTGCATTATATCGGAACGCAATCAGTAGCCCGGTTTACACATTTGGCTAATGCATTATTGTGATGGAACGGTGTTATGAAGACCACGCTCAGGGAGATAAGCGTTTCCTTAGCCCTCAACAGGAGCGTGGGAAGTTTAAGAAGATGAGACTGGCACCACCCTAAGGAATTCACGGGGTTGTGGCTGGCTGGCTTGGGAACTTGGGGTCAGTCTGGAGAGATTTCTGTCTTGAGGTGGAAGCTAATAAACGCAACAGAACTGTATTGCACTGTGTCGTGGAGTACTTTGGGCTGAACCTGACAATTATACCTAGTGGAGAGACTTAGCATGACCTATCAATCTCACCACTGTATAGCTTGCCCTACATTGCAGACCCCGTGTGGTTTATTCCATCAACCGTGGTTAAACAAATCATGCTTAATCTGGCGGGAGTTACTTATCTGAGCAGACAATCTTAGCTTAACAAGGAAGCTTCCTAGACTTATGATATACAAAATAGGCATGCGGTAATGAAACTAAACCCCACCCACTTTGCAGGTATAGAATATATAGGGAAGCTCTGGGGGACAAAAATGAGAGCTGTTAATCAAAAACCTAGATGGATTTTGCAAATAAGACGGATGAGCAGGTCCTGATTGGAATTTAGGCATATCCTGTTTTTGTTCTGGGAAGCACATTATCTGTGGCTGCTTCATCCGCGTTATTTTTCTCCCGTGCAACACTATGCCATTCCACGCCCCTAGATCCGGACCACGTTGATCTTGATATCACCCTTGCTACATAACATGCTGATTAGCGCAATTGTTCCATTTTTATAATGATTTATGGATTGTACAGCACCTTGGGTTCCTTGCTCTGTCAGTTTGTTTGGGCTTGAGGCAGGCTGAAATATTTAAAGGAGGATGTTTTATTGTCTGATATTGATCAACTCCTCCTAGGCAAGTCACACACTTTTCCTGCCAACTGGGCGAGGTTGAACCTGCACGCGCGTGCACACAAACACACACACACACATCATCTCCCCTTTGTTTTCCCACCAGGAGAAAGGGTGTGTTGCACAACTGTGATCGTTCTTAAAAAATGCACGTAAGAACGGGAAGTGAACGATGTGCTTTATATAAAGCACCATAACGTGTGTGCTGGCCAAGCGGATGGCAATCATCTTTTCCCCTGATGGATTTTCAAAGTAAGAGCAAAATGAACTGAGTCTCACAACTGATTGACTGATTACATGCTATTTAGTTAGTGTCAACTCTTAGCGGCCAATGTGTCACGGTGGGGGGGCAGACATAAACTATTAAACCATCCTGAAATACATTTAGGATGACGTGGGGGAGTGGACTTCAGCAAGACTTCAAAGAGATGAAGTTTAAATTGTGACTCCTAAATCTACTACGGGTAGGGAGAAAGGTAGGATCCTTAGATTTAGATGGGTGTTTCTCAACCTCAGCAACTTTTAAGCTTTTCGCTGGGTGGAAAAGAATGAAAGATACTAGGATGGCTTTCTGCTCACTTCTGCTCCATTTCGTAGGGAGCATTTGCCAAATACTGCTCCAGCAGCTAGGTCAGGGGTTCCCAACCTGGGGTGCCTGCACCCCCAGGGGCTGCGAGATGGAATTTCAGGGGTGTGCGACCATTTTATGCCCTGAGTTAAAAGTTCAATTTGTTCACCCGCATTAGAAATTGGACTTCTTCATCTTCAAATGTGATATTACTTTTGTAGGGGGTGCGAACGTTAATCAGACATTTCCTAGGGGTGTCGGGCATAGAAAAGGTTGGGAACCCCTGGGTTAGGTGAAGGAGTTTCCTGCTTCCCTCCTGCCTTTCATAGCCTAATTACTTGATCGCTTCTGACAATCAAGAAAGAAAGATTCTAGGAGCGAAGAATGATTCATGGGTTCTGCGCATCGGGATGTGTGCGTATCGGGGAAGTGTTTTATAATTAGCTTCTGTTGCCTTACCCACCACATCTTCAGGCACATGGGCATGCCCATCCTGGCACCGGTCTCTGGCTTCAAGGTACAGATTGATGTCTTAGACGGCAGCTCCAGAACCTGAACCTGACATTAAGAAAACAAGTTGAATTGGCCACCAGCCAGCAACCAACACAACAGAGATCTTTTCAGGCAATTCGCAAGAGGCTGAGGCAAACCCTTTCCTTGGGGAGGCAGGGGTGGGGAGAATGGGCAGGAAGATCCCTCAACCCCAGGAAAGACACAGGGCTGTCAACGGGGGCGAAAGCCGGGCAGAAAACAAAACATTTCTCTTTCGCACGTCAAAGGCGTCAAAGGTTTCATTTTCCAAACTCGCTACCGGGTGCCATTCAGTATGTTTCCATCTCGTCCTTATCGGTTCTAGATGCTGCCATCCCAACTGGGTCTTAAATTGAGAAGACTGTGGTCTGATCCTCTAGAAGCAAATCCCACTGGGGATTACTCCTGAGGAAGAGATTCAAGTTTGTGTTCTTTGTCCCAATGAACAATGGTTTCCACCCAAGCAGGACGTTCAAAATGACCACGTAGGCTGCTTACAGTGCTTAACAGGGAGATGGTCTCAAATCTAGGGATGGAGTTTCTCCTGAAATCCCAACAGCCTCAGGGGGTCTATCTAATGGGAGAATGGGAGCACAAATTGAGGCCTGGTTGTACATGTCCCCCCCCAACCCATTATTTAATTTATTTATTTATTTATTTATTTATTAAATTTTTCAACCACCCATCTCCCCCCAATGGGAGAGTTCCCAAAGCTTCCCCAAACATGACAAAACATTGCCAGAAACAACACGGTCAGATTGGGATGGAAGAACTATTCAGTGCAATAAAGCCTTGATTTAACAGACTCCCATTTAGCGGACTTTAGACGCAATAGGCAAAATTTATGTCCCAACTTCTCCTCAAAATAAAAGATAAGTTCACTCCTTGTCTGGGTAAGGCACTTACAGTTGCATTAAATTTGGTTTTCATCATTTACACCAATCTGCCCTGTGCTTCATGATGTAATTCAGCAAATGGATGCAAATAGTCTAATTTCAGATTTAATGGACATGTAGGAATAAGACATCTCTTCTCCCTGAATCAAGGAGTTAAATCAAGGTTTTCTTGTGCCTGCAGAGAATGCTGGCTATATTTTGATGAATTAAGTCAACTTAAATTAAATCAGATTTGGGTCTGGCCCAAGCTTTTGGAGTGTGCCTTCCGGTCTAAATAAAACTGTGGCTCGTCCCACTTGACAACTAAGACATATGACTCCGTACATTTACACAACCTATTTGCTACTCCCAACAGGAGGAGCCCCACAAGTGAGGGGCTTCATAAAGTTGATTTCTTTCAATATTCCCCCCCCCCTTTTTTCCCTTTGGCCTCCTCCCCACCTCTATGCACTTATATGAAAAAAAACCCCTGCATTTGCTCATCCGAATTACATCATGAAGCACAGGGCAGATTGGTGTAAATGATGAAAACCACTCCCAACAGGAGGAGCCCCACACGTGAGGGGCTTCATAAAGTTGATTTCTTTCAATATTCCCCCCCCCCTTTTTTCCCTTTGGCCTCCTCCCCACCTCTATGCACTTATATGAAAAAAAACCCCTGCATTTGCTCATTGAAATGCATTTTTGAGGCTGCATGCCGAGCAGCTAGAAGGTGGCCTTGCCAACCCAGCATGTTGCATTCAACACACCACTTAAAAATTAACCTTTAAAACTAACCCTGCGCCTTTGCACCGAAGCCTGCTATCCCCCAAGGAGAATAAAAATGAGACCAGGCCGTTTCAAGAACACAAACTCCAGTTGGAACAGTTTGTGGATTGTATTTCAATTCCTGCCGTGTAGGGGGGAGGACACCCCCGTCTATAATTTACTGCGGACACATTTTTCAACAGCAAGCTAAGCTGGAGCAGGAAAAGGGCCAGTGAAATGAACGGGGCTTGCAGAGACCAAAACAGGACCTGCTCCTGAGTGGCTCCTCTTTGGATACCGCCAAGAACAAAACCAACTCAGCTCAGGCATGAGTAGAAATCAGATCCTACCAGAGGCCTTAGATGAGATGCCCCAACTGTGAAATTTGCTGCCTGACCCTACTGAGCATTTCCTTGGAAATAAGAACATGGGAAGCTGGCTTCTTTATTTGATTGCCCTTGAAGACAGTGATGGCGAACGGGTGACACGCCAGCGTTCGCCAACACCCAACGTCAACTATTCTCCCTGCTGGAGTTGCCAAAGAAAACAGAGTTTGTTTTACTCGCGTTTCATTTTTATCATTATCTGACGTTTCTTCATCTAATACGTAGCACCACACAGGATTGGACTATATTTGTTTTATATGAATGAATATGTCAAGAATTGTTTCATTTGTGTTCGGGGAGGAGTGGGGGTGACACGCCAGGAGAGTCAAGTTAGGCATTTTCTGAATTTTTGACATGCCGAGTCGCCCAAAAGTTTCACCATCACTACATTAAGATCTCTTCCTCAAGAGCAAAAAATCAACCTGCATAGCATTCCCGCCTCCCATTTCTTTTTCCTGCAACATGAGGTAGTGAAGAGAGAGTTGATCAGCCCTCCAAGTAAATCTCTTGGACTTCTCTTGGCTGAGATTAGCCTCAAACAGGGTCCTGGTCTTAGTCTGACACCTTAACCACACACCACATCGGCTGAGTATTGCTTGTTCCAAAAGTGGACAAGCCGTGGCACGAGAATCTTTGGCTGAATTGACAGAACCTTCACACATGTAGCCTCTGGGCCTTGGGAAAAAAAAAATCCTACATTGAATGTAATTTAAAACCAGAAGGAGAATTCTGCACTGGTTCCCCCAGGAAAAAAAAATGTTTTCACTTTTGCCTGGGGTTCATAATGTTCTTGTGTGGCTACAGGTGACCCCCTCTTCTTTTTTTGCACATTTCTAAGGCTTTTTAAACATGTTCCTGGCAAATTGGCAGGAGAAATGCATGTAGCTCATAACTGGCGGTTTTATTGCAATCAAGAACAAATAAATGCCTGTTTAGATCTTATTATTCATAGACTGAACCTGCTTCAAGGAAAAAAAAATGCTCTCTTGGGTATTGGCCAAGTGTAAACACATATTAAGTCTTCGTGTTAATCATAAGCCTCAAAGTGTTTTGGCTCCGAAAGAGACGTGTTTAAGGAGGTTTCCAGGTTATACGGATTTTATGGAACTTCTGACAAACATTTCTATCTGGCAAGTCAGCAAGTCCATGATTGCAAACCACAAAGCCCATTCACCGAGGCAAAAGATCACAACTCAAGTGGTAGAACATCTGCTTTGGAAAGAAAAGAAACCAAGTGCAATGGAAACGTGAAGCATTGCAGCTGGTCTAGACAGAACAATGGACTGTATCTTCCATAATTCCTTGACTATTTTCCCACACTCAAATCAGGCCCAACAGAAGTCAGAGGCTACTAACATCTCAACAGCCACCTTTTGTAGATAATACTGATCTAGTTGGAGAAACAGGCTGAGTTAGTCCTAACCGAAGAGGAGGAAAGTCAAAGGTTAAGATGCTACTTTTTGCTGAATCAGATCATTGACTCAACTAGTCTGATAGTGGCACTTGAGGATTAAACAGGGGTTAGAATGGGAGACTCCAACACACGCTCAACCGCGAAGCTGAAATTCTTCTCCTACATCTTCCTACAGAATCCTAGATTCTTAACGTTAGAACAGATCATTTAGGCCACTGAGTCCCACTCCCTGCAGAAATCAAAATTAAATTGTGCCTGATGGACAAACACTTCCAGTGAGTGGGAAACTTTGGGTAACTGTAGTGCTGTTTGCTTAAATACAGTAAAAAATCCCTGTTCATTTTTTGCTGATTGGTGATGCCATAAAAAAAAAAAAAATAGGGTTGGGCACTGCTTCACAACCCATGGGATGTGCCTGAGACTCTCCAAAGCAGCCACACCCCACCCCAGAATCTACATGGGAATACCATCAGCATTAAAGTAGGACAGAGAAGAGGAACGTATGTCAACTGCTAAGTGCATCGTGATTATAAGCCATGTTTTTCAGTCAGAACCCCATCTCAGATGAGAGCAACAGAACCATCAGCAATGCAGACTGGAAACCCTGGTGAAAACCGGGCTTAAGAAATCCCACCACCATCATCTCAAAAGATCTAATCAGTTCAATGGATTCTGACGTCCCCTCTCCAATAAGTTCTTTGACACAGTAAGTGTTTCCATTGTCTAATTTATGAAACCAGAGCAGCCTTCCAGATGTCTTACAATACCATTCCCATGACCCTTTGCCATTAGCCAAGCTCAGAGGAACATTTGGAAGTACCTGGCCACCACACCAAGCAGAGAACACTCATATTACAGGAATTACTTACCTCTTCTAACCCTTTCCAAGGTGTGGCCAGGAGACACCGTTTCTCTGTCACCTCAGTGTGTGAACATTTGCAGAACCCAACATTCTCCATGAAAAGAGAGTCTGTGACAATGTTCCTTCCTTCAGCTAAGTCCCACAGGCAGATGTTCTGGTCACGGCCCTGACTTTTGCAATCAAAATCATTATTTGTCACATGGAAAGCCCTCTGGGTAAAATATTCATTCAGTTTCATGGCAGATCCCTGATGGACCTCCATGCTCCTAGTAAATCCCCTCTTTAAAACAACACTACCTAAAATGTCCAGCTCAACAGTTACCCTAGACTACTACATTCTTGGCTACTGACACAGAGGGGAACTCAAATCTTATTTGCACATCAAAATGCATCTGGAGTATGGGCTATGAAAGTTCATCAGATTAATAAAGCTGTTGAAAGGACTCTTGAAACAGCACTTTAAGTAAAAATGTTTTCTCTAGGTTATATACATGTCACTGAATATTTTTGTAGGTTTCCAGTTTTTTGCTGGCTGACCCTGAAGCTGTGAATACAGGAAGCTACTTTCTTAAGAATCAAAGCACCGATCCAACATTTTCTGCTCTGATGGACAATCCAACAGATATCTTTGCCATCTCTTACTTCCAGAAATAATTGTAAATGACAGGCTGAGATTCTCTGTATACATTTTATGACTGAGTTAGGACACTCCCTGGAGAAAGATACTGGGACAAAGACCCCAGGTCTCCTGTCTACAGCAGCAACCACTTAACCAACAGCTGTGGGGAGGAGTGAGATCCTCCATGAACCGTGTCTTCTATAAGGCCCACTTTTAGAAAGCTAGTAACCCATTTACAGCGCCCTGAGACCAGCATTTAGGATAATGTTCTCCAGATACCTTGGACGCTCCATTGTCATTGATTTCAGCCAGCGTGGCCCGTGGGGATTGGAACCGTAGTCTAACACCATATGGAGGGACCAACTAGACTAAAGCAGCTTCAGAAACAGGGTTGGGTGTTTTTATGATGGCACTGGCTTTAAAATTCATGGCATAGGGCCAGGATATTCAAGGGACCACTTTTCTCCAGTTGTCTCTATCCAGCCCATCAGGTGGGGAGGTTAGGTTAGGTGAGTCTGTGAGTTATTGAGATTAGTGTTGGTGGTCTTGGCCACCATTTTTCATTTTTGCTCTGCATTTCTACTTTATGATTATAATGATGGTTTTATCCCTACTAGCCACCCAGAGTCACTTATGTGAGATAGGCAGCCCTATACATTGAATAAATAAATAAATAAAAATACATAACTTTTTCAGAAACCAATAACACTAGGGCATTTGCCAATGTCAGCTAACTCAAATTTCTCAAATCGTAAACAAAATCTGCTTCAAAGAAAGAAAGAAAAGACATTTTGAAGAGGTTCAAAATGCACGCAATCCATAGATTCAACTTCCTTTGCAAGGTGACTCTTGGAAGCCCCTGCGTTGGAAATCTCCCAGTGATCTGCAATGCAGGAACCCACAAGATCCTTGTTGCTAAGTTGTGCTTTCAGGAAAAAAAAAAGAAAAAGAAATAGTACTGTTGCAATCTGTGGAAACCACAGATTATATCTGTCTGGGAATGGATCCTCTCCAACTCAGATCAAACCTGTCAGGTGCTTTCAGATATTTCTCAGGAAATCAACTTATTTCAGGAGTGAGATCAAAGCTGGAAAAGAAAAAAACTTTTCAGCCAAAATCTGGGTGACATTAAGACTGGGTTCATATGTCACATCAAGCTACAGTATATCTTAATTCACTCTGGCTTAGCATGAATGTGCGAAGCCAGTTAATGTGTGGCTTAATGTGTGATATGAACCCAGCTGATTAAGGCTTAGCCAACCAACTATGGTTAAGAAGGCCACAATTTAGCACAGGGGGGCAACTTAAGAGAGGCACTTAAGGGGAGGGTGAAGGTTACAAGATGAGTGAGGCTTCATCACATATATGGGCGAAGGTCAGCTTCTAGATGGAAACTGGTGGCTTTCTTTGATTTTTAAGAGGGGTGAAAAATGCTTTGCATCAGAAGCAAGAAAGGGGGTTGGGTGCTGGTGGGGCTGCATGCAATGCAGCTGTCTGCACCTTCTTAAAGACTCTTGGGTTTACATTTTAGCGGTGCAATTTCAGGAAAATATGCATTTGAGTTGAGGAGGCACTGACTGCATGCCAACCTCTACCCCAAAACACTTCAGTCCCCCATTTCATTCTCCCAACACAACCAGAAAGGGGGAATGCTGCTTACAGCCACTTGTACAGTGAGATAGATGGCACAGATACATTTGGAAAATAAATAAATAACTAAATGAAAATAAGCTTTTGCTTTCAGTTCCCCATCCTTTCTGGAGTTCTCTGCCTCAAGAATTATTGGCCAGCTTAAGTAAATTTGGTTTTAAAAAGCCACCTCAGGCCTGGCAGCTTGGAAGGGGCTTGCCTGGCCTGTTAATCATGGTCTGTCATGCCAGGCAGCACAACAGACTGTGGTTAATGAAACCAAAAGGAAAACCTTTCCAGAGCAGAAGAGAATGAGCAAGCTTACGCTTGCCAAGTCTACATTTATCATACTGAACTTCAGTTTCGCTAATAAATCAGAGCTTAATACGACGTGTGTTCTAGCCTAGCATGATACACAAATATACAGATTACATTTCAGGATAGCCCCATTATTATCCAAGCTAATCTGCTTCCCCAAAGTTTCTCTCTGATAAAGATACTTGGTGCTTTTGAAAAGATGCTATTAAAAAAAGCAGGAAGATAATATCATGGAATGAAAAGCAAAGGATTAAACCAGTGTTTCTCAACCTTGGCGGCTTGAAGATGTGTGGACTTCAGCTCCCAGAAGTCCCCAGCCAGCATGCTGGCTGGAGAATTCTGGGAATTGAAGTTCACACATCTTCAAGCCGCCAAGGTTGAGAAACATTGGACTAACCCAAAGTCAAGGGCATCCTTGAAAAATTTCTGCCCTGATATCGTTCTGTAGCATCAAACAAGCCCGAGTAAAGGCATGTAATTATGTTAACAACTCACACTTAATTCTAGTCTTCAGAGGTGTGAACTGTGGTTATGCAGACGACAACAAATCTAAATGCTAATCAGGTCTGCTACAGAAGATGTCATTCCACAATAATCTTGTCGAAACATCTCCCAAAGCCTAGTGAAGTTTTGGCAACCTTCTGCAACTGGAGGGAGGAAACACAGAGACTCCGGGCACCTAAAAGACGTGGGGATTTATTACGGCAGAAGCTGCGGTGCCTGTCGATTTGCCTGCGTGCAATCCATATAAATACACGTTAAGACCCAAGCACACTCACACACACATGTTGTTAAAGGGTAGCAGTAAGTCTGATTTCTTTGAAAAACAAACAGCCTTAAACCAGGTTGGTTCTTGGCTGTTTAACCAGCCGTGGGAAACACAACCGCCATGCATTAAACAGATACGGGCATACACGTACCACTGGTTGGCTACTCTTTAAAGCAGCTGTGTCTTTTCAGAGGACCACGTTGCTTTGAAGAATGCCAGACAGATACTACTTTTGTGCCTGCAAACACCTTTTTCCAGTCAAATCCAAAGCAATGCAGAGCCCCATTTAAGAAAACACTGGGCTCCAATCTAGCTGTCATTCATATGGTGGGACCTCCCCTTGTTTTCCTTCCCCTTTCACTCCCCTTATGTGCCCCTCAAAACTGCTCTTGCACAGAAGGAGCAGAGGGTCCCTTCCACTGGGGACCCTGTTCCATCAGCATGGAAACACAACTGTATTTCAGGGAAGTAAAGGCCCTTGAAAGTGGCATAAATTTAAAAAAAAATCAAAGATAGCTTCTTTTTGGCTTATTGATTGATTGGGTTTATAAGCTGCTAGACACTATTACCATTTGGTATGCTGCTGTGTCTATTGAATACCCACAACTTCCATGAAAAATTATTTACTGAAGCAAGTAATGCCACAAAACCACACAGATAGACAATAACTAATCTGTGGTTCTCACTCAAGGCACTAATGACCAGGCTGAAATGATCATACTTTGGACACTTTATGTGAAGATCTGGCTCTTTGGGAAAGTTTATAATGCTGGGAAAGGTGGAAGGAAAGTGGAGAATCACCAGCAAGGTGGATGGATTCAATTACAGCAGTAATGAGCGGACTTTTTGGAAGATCGGAAGAACCAAGTGGGGACAGATCAACCTGGAGAAAATTTATCTGTGTGGTCGCTAAGAGCTGACACTGTCTTGATGGCACATGATCAACCAATCAGTCAATGCTGCCAAACTTGAATTATGCCTTGTGAATTGTAGGACTTACCTAAGAAGTGCATTTCTTCTATTGGATAATGATTTCACCCAGTACACTGATTTTCCACTGTGACCATCCAGGGTACTACATGCTCTGTGTGTCTTCAGATTCCAAATATGGATCAGCCCACTAGAAGATCTTTTTTAAAACAAAAAAATAAAAAAGGGAGCGTTAACCATTATTTTGACCCAGTTTTTAATAAAATAGATCTTGTACACAGTTGTAAAAAAGTGAAAAGCTAAAAAGACAAGATAATTAGAACTCTTCTTTAAATGAAACATCCCCTTTAGTTCCTTTGTTATTTCCTTGTGTTTGTTATAGATGGTAATCCACTTAGACATGATAACTTGTAAAGCAAAATACAATACAGGTAGTCCTCACTTAACAACCATTCGTTTAGTGACTGTTCAAAGTTACATAGGTGCTGAACAAAGGAACTTACAACCGGTCCTCACACTTAAAACTGTCCCAGAATCCCTGCGGTCACATGATCACGATTGGAAGCTTGGCAACAAGCTCACGCTTACGACGGTTGCAGTGTCCCGAGGTCATGTGATCACTATTTACGACCTTCCCAGCCAGCTTCTGGCAAGCAAAATCAATGGGGAACCATGTGATTCACTTAAGAACTGCGTGATTCGCTTAATGGCCACAGTGATTCGCTTAATGACCACTGCAAAAAAGGCTGTAAAATTGGGTGCAACTCACTTAACAACTGCCCCACTTAACAAATTTTCCAGTCCCTATTGTGGTCGTTAAGCAAGGACTACCTTTATGCGACAGTATAATACAACACTGCTGTATTTGTATTTGCTGTTTCTATACTCACCCGGAGTAAAGAATGGGTAACTCTGGTTCTGGGTCTGAACAATGAAAGGAAAGAGTATTGATGTCACTGTTTGTTCCTCGGAGAACATACACTGGATCTGGAGCAGGGGCAGCCATCATGAGAATAGCCAATTAGAGGTTCTTGAAAAAGAGAATAAAGAAAGATGGAAACCCAGCTTAACCTCTTAAGTTCTTATACAAATAACCAACAAAGTACATGGTTTGACAGAAGCAAAAAACTGCATAAGAACTTAGAACTTAGGTAATATCAAATTATCTAAAAAGGCAGAAATCACAGCAAAAGAACAGGACCTATATATTCTCCAAAATAAATCCCACTATCAAAATTTTGCATCTTGGTTCACATTCCACATTTTGATGGAGGGGAAAGAAGGTAGATCTCCATGACTGGTTAAATTAATTTATAAACCTTTTTTGCTTCTTCATACCCAGGACAAGGGGAAAAAAGGGAGAAACAAAACCTGGAACTTTTTTTTTTTTTTTTTGATATTTCAGGACCACCATGGCTACTCAATGTAAGATACTTACAATTTCAAGCAAATTTGTAAGTAACAGAGGTTTGGTCACACATGGGCCAAGCCCTCACATGGATTGCTTGTTCTCTTTACTTATTTTTATTTATTTACATCTTTACTTATTTATATTTATTTGAAGTGGATTATCGACTACTTCAATCAGCAGGATGGCTTCGTGTGATGGTTCAACCAGGCCGCAAGACTTGTTGACGAGTTACTGGCCTTGCAATCAAACAAAAATTTAAAAAAAAAATCTTAACCAACAGGCAAAAAAGCACCCCAATTTAGTGTGATTCCCAAAGGCACAGGTTTGCACAAGCTCAAAACACACCAGTTTATGTGTGAACCAGAACACTGAGTTACATTGGATGGGTGAGATCCATGATTACCCAGAGTTTTAATCTGAACAGATTGCATCTCTAGATTCCAACCTGATGCTCATTAAGAAACAAATTTTACAAGCTGCCTTATTGTTTGCGTGCACGGCATGAAGACGACAAATGCAACGTTCTTTGATGTCATCCTTTGGGTTTAGTCTTTAGAATGTTATCTGTCAGGGGTGATGAATTACACCCATCCACAAGATTGATTTGCTTGGGTTAATTTCAACTCCTTGGTATCTTCCGTAGGGTTCATTCTTACTACAAAATTCACCGGATGACTCCAAGCTCCTGTTCAGCCTCCAAAGCCACACCAACACCTCTCGCTTGGGAATACCTTCCAGACCCTGGCATGCATTCCTGTGGTTCCCTTACTGTTTCAAAAGACTGCTAATGCAGAAACATGCCACAGGGAATTATCTTGGAAGCGAAGGAGCAATTCTGGAAAAATATTCCAGGCTAAGGATGGAGACAAGCACAGCAGAGTCCCCCCAGAGGCAATCTGGAACTACCGGGGAAATTTTAATCACTCTTGTTCTTCGTTACTCAAATAATTGACTGAAGCTTTGCTGATTGAAGGATAAGGCTGTGTGTGTGAATCTGGGGAGGAACCTTTAGGTGGCATGGAACAGGATGTGCTGAGTGCATGTTTTTACAAAGGCCTTATCTAGGGTGCTCAGCGTAGGAAAAGAGGGAGTTGTGACTGTCCATCGAATCCATCTGGCCAAAAACGTTTTGTTTGCTATACGCTTTCACAAATGCCATAAAACTAAGGTGGGTTGCAAGCTGGTTGTTTCCCCAATTGCAGATCTCTCCAACACACCTCCTGGCGGGAGCGATCACTTCCCCCCATCTCCCCAAATGCCTTGAAGGAGGAGCAGATCTAATGCATTCTGATGGCCCACCAGGACTAGAATTCACTTCTGGAATTTGAGAAGTTTGTATGTTCTTGCACCAAATCCAAATTTGGGCCAGAAAAATATAAGTGCTTCACCAGGAGGCTGAATCTCTCAAACCAAGTGAAAGTTCTTTTGTTCTACTGACACTCTCAACATCCCAAAGCTATTTATTTCAACACAGTCCCTAAAATGTTCATTTTCTAATTTATCATATCCTCTCAAAATATGCAAACGTCAGGGAGGTCACCTTGAGAATAACAACAACAGCAACAATAATCTTACCTCCCGGAGCTTTACAAACATTAACTGATTCCCACAGGAAAAATTCCAATAGAATTCAGCAATCCTCCTATTCCCATTGGTGTCACTTGCATTTCAATCTCACGTTGAAACAAAAACAAAATTGCTGGTAAAATATCATGCAATTTCCCTCTCTCCTGTTCCCTTGATAAGCTCGACCTCCAAAGCCAAGACTAAAAATACATGATTTTTCTATCCACGTTGAGCGTCATCAAAATACAGGAATAATTGGAATAAATCTTTCTCGTTGCATCTGGCAACCCAACAGGACAGTAACCAGCAAGTGAGTTTCTGTAATTATGACTCTAAAATTATTCAACACATCCAGGTGTGCTACTATATGAATCCGCATTATGTCCTGGAAATTCGAAGCCCAACTGGTACCCTCTTTGCAAAGCAAACCACGGTTAAAGAATTGACATTGATCTCCAAGTTACACACAGACCAACCCTTGTTTATTCTGAGCGTTTTGAGAATGCCTCCCATCGGGTCTGTTTTGCAAATAAATGATATTGAGCTTCATGGGATTTACCTCCAGGTAAACACCTGAAGAACAGCCTTCATTCCTAAGTCACTGTTTGCACTGAAGATCACAGTAAGGGGGCCTAAGATGGTATTTGCATTGAATCTGTTTGTAAACAGGGATGTTGCTTGAAAATACGTTAGTTCAGAAAAGAGACTAAAGAAAGTGGTCCTTCTAGTTCTGAAAGGTCTTCTGGTCCTTGTAAAATCCTACTGTATCTCAGTTTTACTCTACCATATTGGCCCTTTTTCTTCTTTCCAACCCAACAGAATATTGGAAAGAAGTCCATAAAGGAACTTGGAGTTCTGTCCTTCTGTCTGTCAGAAGGATATATCTCCAAGAGGTGAATATGTGTAGCTCAGAGTTGAACTGTGGAGTCCTTGGGGTTCTCCAAGGACTCCACAAATCTCCAAAAACATGACAGAATAGGACCAGATTTGGTGGGGCAGGAGAAGCCAACAAAAGAAAGATCACATTAAACAATGAATTTGATCTAGCTTGGGGTGGTGAAGGAAAAAAGATCCAGGAAAAAAAATAATCCCCCAGTTCATCTCAACAGGGAAAGGCAGTGATCCATTCTAATGATTGTTTGCCTAAGCATGATGTAACCGCTTACAGTGTTCACAGGAATCAGCCACAGCCAAATTGATATACCCAAGAAGGATCTGGGCCCATAACATGTTCCTCATCCACTCCTTCAATGGAAAGATGCTAAAACTTTAGCAGGACTTGTAAGTTACTTTTATTAACCACTTCCTTCCTGCTAACCCCCAAACTAACATAACCCCAAAGTCAGAGTATTTTCCTTGGAGTAAATAATGCCGTATAAGTAAAATCATGCTGTATCAAATGCGACTTCCAGAAAAATGTGGAATCTGAGCTGGTGTCTTGAGGGTCATTTCCAAATGCTTCCATCTGTGCGTCATGAACTTTTGCTATAACTATTTTCCATACGAAAACACATATTCAGCAAAGGAGCAAAACTAAGAGTGATGGTAATTATTTTTAGGACACTGAGCTAGCATATGGATCTCATTGCCATTTATATATTTTAGTCACTGGAAAAAAAAAAAGCTATTAATCAGTATGAACAACCCATATAGTAACATAAACATCCATCATTCTAATATTCTCAAGGTGTCACATTGATAATTTTTTTTCAGCCATTCACTCGGACACAGTTGCCTTCAGTTCTCAGCTGTGTGACCTTCCCCAGCCCAGAAACACAAAATGTCTTCTAAGGCTG